CCCCCCGAAACTCTGAGTTTTTGTTTGGATTGGTGCAGTTGTTTCACTTGGAACGGCGGGATCCTTTTAACCTGAAATGATGACGCACTCATACTCATGCCCCACAGGCACAGCCAACACCCTGTGCCATGTTGGTGGGAGAGTTGAACGCGTTGCAAGTGTTTTGCGTGTTTGAAGGGGCTAGAAAAAGCAACCTTCATCACCTTGATGAAGCCAGGCCGCAGGGATTCGCAGGGGATTAGTTCTGCCCACTGCTCGCACAGGATTTCCTTGGCGAAGGCTTGGCAGACGCTGCGGGATCCCATGGGTGCCAGCCAGGCCACACGACAGAAGGCAGGAATGAGTCGAGCGATGTCGAGCGAATTGCTCTTTGCTTTGGCTTCACTTCGCTTTGCTTGCTTGTAAGTTGCAGGTTACTTCGTGCCCCGGGGCTGTTTTTCGGTTGGCTTAGCTAGGCTTATAGCCAGGCGTTTGTTTGCTGTGCTGGATGTATATTTGCCGGTGCTCTAGAATGATCCATGTTTCCGGCGCTTCTTTCCAGCGGCCCGACGGCCTGATCTCAGCTTTTGGCACTCGAGGTGGTCCGGCGCTGGGAGATCCGGCGGCAGATCCTAGCCGGCACTTTCTCGGCACAACAGGCGGGCGGGCCACGCAGGCTGCTTACTGTGTCTCTTGAATCCCCATACAGCCGCATACAGCTTGGTTTGTGATAAGTCACCGAACCCTTCTTCTTGCAGCTCAGGGAAGGGGAACGGTTTGTTTTATTCAGCGCTTTGGTCCCGTGAAGCATCCCTAATGGACACTTTGCTGAGGTACAGCAACTTCGACTCGCAGCATTAGCCATGCAACAGCAAGCAGAACCACCATGTCAACACATGTAAAGAATCACGGCAGGCCAAGGAGGACCTGGTGAACCAACTGAAGCGCGGGGAGATCAACGAGCAGGAGTTGGCAGCCCGACAGAAGGAGATCGATGAGCTGGTGGCGCAGGCCGCGTCGCTGAGGGCGAGGAGGTCAATGAAAGATCGGCTGAGCACCTCGAGGGACTCTCAGCTTGACTTGGAAAACAGCGTTTTTAACTCGTTGGGGTCATGGCACGGGCAAACATTGATACCCTAAACCATCATGCAAGGTGCAGCTGCGTTTGTGTTTGAGGGTTTCTTGGGGAGGCGCGAGGCTCAGCGGAATGTAGTTTTTCAAACTGTTGAATTTGGATAGTCGTGGGTCTTTCTTCCCTTCGGTTAGGGAATGTGATGGTTTTGGTTTGTGGCCTGGGCCTATGACTGCAATCCACATAAATGATCGGATATGATCGGTGTGTAGTCTCACCAATGGTTGTCCGCTCCCTCAAGGAGATGGATCGTGTTTCCACTCCCGCCCGTGGCACGATGCTTAGGACGTCTTTCGGACCAAGTCCCTGGGTGCTCTCAGCTCCTTCCGCAAGTCCGGCACCTCGCTGTCGGAGCATCGGGGCAGGGGCTGCTGCTGTTGCCGCAGGCCCCCGGACGATATGGATGACTGGCCGAATGAAGAGGACCGGGGCAGCCCATCTATGAAGAAGCTGCCATGCAAAATGCAGAGCGCACGTAAAGTGCTTAAAGGGCCTTTGATGCTCGGGAAGTCAAGAGCTGGGACTGGTTCAAAATCCCAATTGGCACGATCCGAGGGCCAGAATTGAGCTGTTTTATAGATGTTTTTCCCTGGCCTGGCGATGTGCATTGAGTATGCCCTTGGGGAGCGATGCCATCTAGGAGGAGGATTTTTGCACTCCCTTGCAGGTGGAGCAGGACGTGCAGGAGACTCAAGCGACTGAGCAACCAAAGGCCGAGGATGATGACGAGTGGGAGTATTTTTGGGAAGAGGATGAAGAAGAGGAGGGCTTTGAGGATGATGTGGAAGTGGATGCCAGCCTCTCGCAAACGGATGTCTTGGGGCCCTTGCCCTCCGTGCACCCCCAAGAAACCGCAGGCAGCTCAAAAATGTCTAGGGTATAGACGCAGCCGCCCATAAGCTACAAGCGTTGAGGCCGCGAGCATCTGGAGAACTGCGGCCCTTTTCCTGCAATGGTGGATCACCGCTCTCTGATGTGCCCGTTCGGGCTTGGAGAGGACCTACGCCATTGACAGGAGCTGAATGCCAAGCTGAATGCCAAGCTGAATGCCAAGCTGAATGCCAAAATCTTATCTCCGCGGCCTATGAGGACGCTTGCCGTGAATCTGGCCTCCTTTGACTGGCCATGCGACTGTGATGCAGATTCTAATGGGGTGATCGGGGGATGCGCGGCGGGGCGACGTGTGATACCCACTTTTGAGTGTTGCCGGGCCCGGGGGTGGTGGGACAAAGCTTTTCACTGCGCCCTTGGGCAGCCTGTCTGAACTGATGGAGAGGGCAAAAGCAAAAGCAACCAGTTTTGCAGTTTTAAGTACATGACTGAAGAGTAGAATGCACAAGCTCTGCAATGCACCGGTAAATCAATGCCGTGCATGTACTGATCGAAGTTGTAGACGCAAGATGTGCTGTGACCAAGGATGTTTTTCTTTGTGTGTTGGCAAGATTCTTTGCAGGGAATGTTGAGATCCTTGAGGAGCTAAGCCGGCAATATTGAGTCGACGGAGGTGGCACTGCCTATTTGTAAATCACGGCCATTTAGCTGCAGCTTGCCATGCTGCTGCGAGCCATCGCGGTGCCATGGGTGGCGTGCTCCACGGCTCCGCCTGTGTTTCAGCACTTCTTTCCTCAGCATGTGTCATACGGCATTCAGCTGCCAGAAGGCCGCGCTCCCTTTGCCTTTGGCCACGTCAAGGCTGAGGATCTGATGAACTATTTGCGTGAGGATCCTGACGGCCCTTTCACTGGAACCGATGGCGAAGGATTCAAAGGCTTCGAGTCGCGCGTGGCGCGTTGGGGCTTCGAGGAGGACACCATCAACGAGGCTTTAGAGAGCATCTTGAAGGCGGACTGGCACGCCACTGCATTCCAACTGGGCGCTGAGGCTTCCGTGTTTGTACCTCGGACAGATGCGTTCCTGCCATCTCGGCAGCCCCCCCGGCGGATCCTGGCGTTCCTGGAAGCATTTCGCCAGGTGTCTGCGGGATGCTGGGGGCGAGTCGCAGAGGCGCTGGCGGCCCTGCGTTCCAGGGCAGAGGCGGAAGAGAGTGTGGATTTGCAAGAGTCGGCGGCTGTATTTCACCATGCTATGCGGCAAGGCTCGCAGTTCGGTGGGTTGGAGGCTCAGATTTGGAGAGGAGGGGCTGCTCAGCTGAGTCACACTTTAGTATCTGGAACATTTGGATTTGCGTTTTTGAGCAGCGCTTAATAATTGGCGAGCCAACTCGCCCAAGATTTTGCGGGATCCTGCGTGCTGTGCTGCAACAAACTGGAAGCCAATCAAGAAAGTTGAAGTTATGCGTACGTCCCTGAAGCTAACATGAGTGAGCTGAGGACCTGGTTATGGATTCCCACACCGATGGAGCGACTGCTTTGCTTCACTTGAGTTTGACGCTTGGCGGTCGGCGCGTTCTGCGCATCAGCCGCTTCAGAGAGCGCCATTCCCCCTACAAGCCGCAGGGGTCAAGAAGACGTGGTGTGCCACCCGGCGACGAGGTCAGTGTTTGGAATGATGAAGCTTACTACCCGCAAGAATTATGCGACTTTCCGCAAGTGAAGGGCAGCGTCTATATCTCGTCCCCCTTCTGCTTTGAGCATGGGGTCAAGTATGAGAGCAGCTTCGCTGACCCTGTCTTTGCACTACAGCGCCTTGTCTTTTTGAGCCTGCTCCAGTTGATATCTCAGAGCTCGCTGATTCTGGGTTTCTCTATGCCAGGTTTCGGACAGGTCGTGGGATATGATAAGGTCAAAGTTCCCCCTCTGCAATCTTGGTGCTGTTCATGGACATGAGCTGCGCAATGCTCTCGCAAATGTCTTCTCGTTCAAGTTGCATGGGGTTGGCTGACATTCTTGATAGTTTCAGAAAATGAATGCAATCTAGACGAGGTGCCGCTTTGCTTTTGCCAACCTGACGGAAGCAAAGCTGGTCAATGGGCAGCGCACCGGCAACATGCGCAGCTCGCCTTAAGATGAAGGCGTGCAAAGCAGGGAAGTGCATGCCATTCCAAGCTGGCACACCTGGCAGAAGCTGACGCAGGCGGCCGTCTCAAACCAGCCCTCTGACAGGTCGGTTCCATGCAGGGCTCCCCCTGGCTGGACACATTCAAACCCAGATTCCGAAACGGCTGATCACGGGACGTACGGCACAATTTGGAACATGCAATTCAAGAATGGAAGCAGATTATCCTGCACTACCTTGCGCGGAGACAAGCTGATTCCAAACATTTGCACGACTTTGCTGTAGCCTGGGTACTTCCAGAGGAGCAGAGGGCAGAGGGACAACCTTGGCCACCCCCTTTGCCAGCCCATTTGCCATTCCAATTTCTCCCCAGACTTTGATTGGAAATGAGAAAGGCGGATCAAGCCGACGAATGCCTTGCGATGTCCTCACAACTTGCCTTTTCCTGTGAATTTCGTAGGGCGCGCATGCTTTTCCTCTTATTGTTATCTGACAGCCTTATTTTGATGATTTTCCCGTGTTATTTCTCAAAGCCTTTTTCTGGGAAGAAAGGAATACCGGAATACCCCTTGAAATAAGGAATCCCTCGTTGATGACGGGGGTTTTAGTCAGATGGGCTCATTGAGTGAGTCCAAGGAGAAGTGGCTGAAGTGGTAGCCGACGCACTCTCAGCGTCCATTGACCAGCAAGAGTTGCGGCTGCCCTCGCTGGACCAGCTGCTCGACCACAAGTCACAAATTGACAAAGGGCAAACTTCTTTGTCAGAGATAGTTGGGATGTCCTTGATAGATTGATTTTCTGTTTGTTGGGATATGTTGGGATGTCCTTGGCGTTGCGGCAGAATCAAAGGGTGCTTGTAACGAAAGTATCCAGGGCTTCGGGCACCGCAGTGTTTGGAATCCTCTTGGGGCCATCGAATGGAATCTCGGCCCGTGGGGTCTTGCACTTTGCCATGCACACCTGTGTCATCCTTTGCCGCGGGGCAAGCAGAAGGGAGAGGCCCTGCAAGATGCGAAGCGGTTCCTTATCCATGGGAGGGCAAGGGCCAAACACATCACTGCTCGCAGTGGATCTTTGTAGGTCAGTGTTTTATGGGGTGAAGTGGATCACGAAGTCTTCAATCGAATGGCATGCCTGGAAGGCTGGCTGTTTCTACCTTGGCTCCCATGCTCGGAAGTTCCAAGGGTGAAGGCAGTGGAGAAGCAGATCTCCATCGGTTACCAACTGCGCACAGAGGGGGCCTGGAGCTTATGGTTAGAGACGTTTGAGCCCAAAACGGCCAGGAGGCAGATGCACAGAGTTTAACACCGGTTGAAGGCATGGGGTCCCACCAGGATCGGGGTAGATGGGTAGCATGCCCCGAGGCTCGTACGCCGATGCTTGCTTGCGGGCGAAGCCACTTCGTGCTGGCAGTGCCTCGTTTGCAGTGTACGACTTTTGGTCCTACGAGTGGGAGGTCACAAATTTGTACTTTGTTGCTTGCGTGTTTTGTGGTGCTTTTGGACACAAAGACAAGCCGCACAGAACAGCTCAGCAATTGTTCCTCGTCGATCCAAGCCCATAACGCTCATGGCACGGCCGACTTCGAAGTTGGATCAGCTCTTCATTTGTAATGCCGGCAGCAACTGCACAATGTTGAGCTCGCTACGCCAGCCGCCGACCCTCTTTGCAAATGCCACCATTGAAAAGAACAGATCGAACACCAAGGGCACTAAGAGCACTAATTAGCATCAGAACGACACAGGGGCCAGTGTGCTCCGCGTGCGAACTGACCTCTTGAACACACTGGGAAAGCACATGTTGGGAACGTTTCGCAGCAGGCCCTTTGAGATCCATTGAGGTTGAAGGGAAGATCAGAAGATCTGCTTGTTTGTTGAGAATATCAAGTTCATAGAAATAAAGGATGCGCATCTACTGTTCCATTCCAAGAGAACGCTCATCATAGCATGCAAGCGAGGTGGAGAAAATTCCAAGCCAACATCAATACCCAAACGCCGGGATGATGGGGATGCGGAAACAAAGGGCGGCGGAAACAAAGGGCAAACCGAAGCTTCCAAACACTGGCTTAGTCCAAATCGGGGAATGTGATGATGCAGGGGATGCGGAAACTGTTATGGTGAGGCACCCTCCCTCCCTGTCCCTGGAGGCGTGCGTCAGCCGGGCGAGGAAGACAACATGCTCCAGACAAAAGAAAGCCCCTGCCATTTGCACGCTCGACTGCGTTGGCGGATTTTAGGTGCTTAAATGCTGCCCAAATTTGTCTGCAAGCCGTGCCAGGCGGTTGCCTTCTGTGGTGCTCGAAGGTGGCATTCAGCACGTGTGAGGTCAGAAAAGGAAAGGCCCAGCAAATGATCATTGTGGGTCACCATTTTGAATGTCCACACCACGCTGACACCAATCATGCAATAAGATTGGGCCCACTTCAGGCAGGCAGAACGTGTGTGCTCCTGAGAAACGCCAGCTTGCACCAAACGCTTGGGCCCCCAGCTTCGGCCCGCAGAGGCCCAGCTATTAGACAGGGTGTGAAGCAAGTGGTCCCCGTTTGCTGTCGGCAACATTTTGGCTCATGGCGTTTGGGACGGACAAAATTTGGCGCCCAATGTTTAATGAGATTACCATAATGTGGAAAGCGCAAGGCCGCCTATAAACACGCTTCTTCAATAAAGTGGGATGCATGTTTGCCGCATTTGCAGGGCCTTACTTGGCAAGCCATTCCTTCAACAAACAGCACAAGCTAGCAACTGATTGTTGGGAGCTACCAAAGACGGAGAGCGACATCTACAACATACTCAGCGCACGAGGCCAGGGCTGGAGACAATCGTTTGAAATTCCAGGGGGAGGCAGCAGCACACGGCGATGTGACTGAGCTAGACTGAGTCGACGGGCTTCGCTTGGCGCTGGTCTAAATTGTGACTTCCCACGCCCTGTCCAGCCGCAGGCTCCGCGCTCGTGGAATGATGGAGGCCAGTAGGGCTGGGCCGATTTTGCCTGGCCTTTTTCTTTGGTGGGATCGCACGTCTCCTCAAAACAAATGTGTTTGGGGGATTGCTAGGAGCTGAAATCTATGGTCTTGCCTGCGCTGGGACTCGCGAGGACGGTTCGTCAAGCTCATCTTCCGAGGCGGCGGCAGTGTTCCAAGGCTTTTGAGGGGGCGTGGACTTGATTGATCACGGGCCAATTTCTGGAAGAAGAACATGTCTTGGGAATGGCGCACGTTCAGGACTCGGACTCTTCCAGCTCCTCGTCCTCTCGGCCAGGCCAGCTGGCAGGTCAAATTCTGACTGAACAGCCAGGTTCCAGCCGAGAGCAGGGGGTAGTTGAGCCCCTTTTGCGCAACCCAGTTGCTCCAAAAGCCGCATCTTGTGCCGAGTGTCTGTGGTTTGGCACTGATTTGAAGGTCGGAACCCCTGGGGTTGGCCAAAGCCGAGGCATCAAGAAGGAGGAAGCCAAGGCCGGGAGTCAAGCACAGTGGGGCTGTCGCGCTGGGTCTATCGCCCCGCGCCCCGCCAGGAGCTGAAGACCAAGATCGAGGTTAAAAGTGAGGAAGAGAGCGAAAGCAGCTCCAGCGAGGAGGAGGCTTGCGGGGTAGTGATTCAAGCGTTTTGACAACAAGGACAGCATGCCAGAAGCGCAGAAACGCCTTGTTTTCGAGCATGAACTGCAGTGATTGGCAGGTTGATGATGATTTGTCGGATTTGGATGCCGAAGAGGAAGTTGACCTAGAAGACGTGCAAGGCTTCGTTTGCGGCACACGTCGAATTGTGGGGCATGCCAAAATTATCCAGGGTGTCAGACGCCGAGTTCCATACCGCACTCGTTGGATACCCATTTGGTTTACCAACGCTGAGAAGTCACCCAGGGACCAGGGAGAAGTGGAGCAATGACCTTTCCATAGCTTTTGCCACGGCCTGACACCAGGATGCTCCAAAGCATGGCAGCTTTCCCCATGTTCATCCTGATGCGAAAATATTACAATAAGGCTGCAGCGACATGCTTGAAGTGTGTATGTTCAGGACCAGGGGCCATGGGCATGAAAGACCTTATCGTGACAGAGGCCGTGGGCGGGATGGGCCACCATTGCCAAAGAGGGAGAGGATGTTGGGATTAGCGGGTCAGCTGGCAACTTGACCAATTCGCTTACAGTGGCTTTCCATAAGCCAAAGCAAGATTTACTCATCACCTCCCCTATTGGGACTACACATCCTTGAAACGTGGTTGGGCAAAACTCTCAGACTATGAACCTAATCCTCTCCGCGAAACACTGTTAGCTTGAAGCTGCTTTTGCCTTGCCCATGTGTGGTCCCTCTTGGCATCGGCATGCATCGGCTGTGGGCCAAGAATCACTTACTCCGCGCTGCCCAGGAGCCAGTGCCACTGGATCCGAGTTACCCAGGGAATTGGATCGGTGCGCCACCCCTGGGAGCTCCGGGCCACTGGGCTTGTGCTTGAGCGCCTTAAGCGCCTTAAGCGCCTTAAGCTCGAGTGGGAGGATTGGGAGCCCGAAGCCATCGCGTTTAGGCTTTACATTTGCACCGCGTTTCGGGCAGAGCTTGTGGCGGTGATCCGCAAATCTAGCATTAGGCAAAGGACCGAGGGTTAGTTGCTGTCCTTGGCCAGCAGGTGGAAGGCTGATAGCCAAACATGGGTTGCGGCAGCCGAGGTTTCAACAGATTCGCAGCGTTGGGCTCGGCTGTGGCTGAGACACTTCCAGCGTGAATTCAATTCTGAGACGCGACCATGTTTGCAACTTTCTCAAGTGCGCCCGCAGCCTGCAGGCCAGAGTCATGTGGAACGCCGGCATCGGGAAGAAAAAAGAGCCAGCCATCACACAAGGAGGCCCGATTGAAGCGGTCAGAAGTTGACACGAATCGGGCCTGATGCCGAGAAGGGTGCTGCATTTCTAGTACGGCAGCCTTGGATTGCCGTCGGAATGCAGGGGTGGCAAGATGTGCTATGTGCCCCGAAGAAAGCAGAACAATGGAGAGCAGATTGCCTGGGGGTGCTGATGAGAGATGCTGTTCCTTTCGTAGAGGTCCCGCAGTGTCAAACAAGTGGTGAGGGACCGCGGAACAAATGTAGGTCTCCAGCCATCACTGGCTTTGCCAGGATGCCCTCCGCTGCAGCCGCACCAGAAGGCATTGTTTCCAGGGCATTCCCTTGGCACGCAGTTTGATTTCAGGTGAGCTGAAATTGGGATGCGAGTTTGTGATGGAAGGCCCCCAGGGCTTCAGTCAGAAATGTGCAGCAGTTAGAACCTCGCCTAATACCTTGTGTTACTATCGTATTTGTATATATCTGCATCGCGCGCTGGCATTTGCGGCGATCAGAGCTGGACGACGTATCAAGTTGGAAGGGCTCCGGCAGGCGGTGGCATTCCTGCTGCACCCGCAGTCCCCAGTGTCACGGCTGCCGGCGCACTTAGCCTTGCACGCGGGGCATGGCTCTGACTCTGAAGTGGCTCTCGCCAATTTGCTGCAAGGCTGGTGGACCATCCGACTGGCTCAGGCAGGGCGGTTTCCTGGTGAGTCCGATGAATTGTCAACAGCTTGCCGGCTTTATTGCATGTCATTGCAAGTCCGTGTTTCGAGTTTTCCATGTCAGCCCCTATTTGGCCCTAGATCCCTGAAATCTCGGCGGAGGAAAGACCAGGGAGATGATCCAGGTGCTGGACAACTATTTCTTGGATCCACGCCCGAAAGTGCCCATTTTTCCAAAGGAGTGGTCTGGGGGACCTGCCTACACATGCTTGCCCCGGGCGATGGCAATGACTGAATGAGAAGCAGAGATTGCAAGAATCGTGGGATTCTTCTGTGACGTGCAGTGTATCTTTTGGAATTCTGAATCCCGCCTTTGGCATATGTCGCGCCAGCCGTGAAGTAAAGAAGGGGCATGAAGGTCAGCTTCTTTCCTGTGAGAGTCCGTATAGACCGAGTTTCGGGAGGCAAGGGTAACGCTTGCACACGTTTTTCTGGGAGGACCCCGTGTGTCGGAACTTCTATGTGGAGCTGCTCCGCTGGCCCAGCAGGCACGGGACCCGATGGCTGCCTTGGGCACTGGACCCCTTTGCCCACGCGCCAGGTACAGGGATTTCTTCTCGTGCCTTAGGCGGGAAGGGGTGAGCCGGTTTGCCAGGTCTTTCAAGGTGAAGGGAGGTCTTCCTCGAATTCTGGGGCACGACAAGTTTCGTTGACATGACTTACCATCTACAGTAAGTGCCAATTGGTTGGACTCAGCAAGCTTTACCTTCTACTGTAAAATGAGCGTTCAGGGCACAGCGCCTACACCTTGCGTTGCACGAAAAAAAGGTTGTGAGTGCTGTTGCTCCCCAGAAGCAGATTGTCGTGGTCCTAGTAAAGTACATATTGAAAGGATGGGTGAACTATACTGCCGGCTCGCAACTCATCAACTCATTCACGTTTGATTTTCCCACCCAGGGCACAGCATGCGCAACTCCTGTCGAAGGGTCTAGCTGGAGGGGCCGTCAAATTCTCTGACTCGGCATGTCAACCCGTGACTCAAGCAAATGAAGGGACTTATACATCCAAGACCTTTCGGTTGGCCTTTGCTCGTCAGGCCGCAGGACGCAGTGCAGGCTTGTGGCTGTTCCGAGTGGCGACGGCGTCGGGCAGAGCTCTGGGATTTGGCAGAGC